TTTTCATGCTGGATGCTGTTGCGTAAACTTCTGTCTGTAGCACGGAGCTGTTCTGTGGTCTGTTGGGAACGGGAGAACAGAATAGCTGTGTGTGTGTGTGTGTGTGTGTGTGTGTGTGTGTGTGTGTGTGTGTGTGTGTGTGTGTGGCACAAGAGTATGAGGACACACCAGGCGCGGCGCCAGGTTTTCATTTTTGGGTGGGCCACGGTAATTTTGGATGGCCCTTAAGCAGTGACGTAAGTGAAGCAGGCAGGTCGTGCTAAGAAATTTAGTTTAAAAAGACGTCATAAAAGTTTTCCCCATCATTTTAGTCCTAAAACATAAAGTAAAAGCTCACAATTTAATTTTCACTCAGTTTTTCATTTATGTGTAGTCTCTATTAATAATAACACTATTAATGTAGTAATTAAAATTTATGAAGTATGACCATTAAAGGCCCCGTGTGTGAAATCCATTGAAATCATGATGAAAAAATGCGACTCTAGCGCCACGCAGGTCAGAGAAAGTACTGCAGCTACGGTGGCTCAATCATGAGTTTGATTGTGTAATCAATATCCAACCTGTGTAGCCTAACCCACACAAAGCTTAAAACTAGCTACTTGACCTCTTTAAAAATGCATTTATAATTATGACTGAAGGAAGCAAGCTAGCTCTGTTCTTGAAGCCGTCACGATTCACACACAGAGGAGGGGCGACGTCAGCCGGGAGGTCAGGTGTGAGAAATTGTGTTACCCTGAAATTTTCTGTCCCTCCGTGTCGGGAGATCCCACTTCTGGCTATTTTCACAACACTTGTGATCAACTTTTACAGGAAAATTATGTACTGTAATATAATAATGTTATGCTTGTGATTAATAAAAAAGATAAGTAAAAGTATTCTTGTTCACTCTTTTCTAGCAAGCTTGTTTATCATTTTTGAAAGTAAAAAGATGTAATCTCACTCAGTTTAACATCTTTTATTGGAGGTAGTTTAGTCCTCATAATGGACAATAAGTTCTGTGAGTTTGGAAATATTTGCTCTTTCCTGCCTAAGAGAAACAGAATATTTCAGGGCAACATAATTTCCCACAACACCCGTTTCACGTGGATCATGGTGCCTCGATGTATACAAACTTGCTGCCGCTACCAGCTTATACGGGTACGGAGCGATCACTGGCTGCTCGTTAACCACGGCTGGTGAAGGGGTGTTGGTGAGTCGGGACCATGCTGGAGATCAAGTAAACAATGTTGACTTATCCACCAGCTAATTGTGAGTCACGGCTGGCGTGGTGGAGATCGGCGTCACAAGCTATTAGCCATGGCCAGAGCCGGGGAGACGCTGTGTATGCGGCACGTAAACTCCCACGGATCACCAGCAAAAGGAGACCAAATTCTAAAGGTAATGTTTGAGAAGAAGCCCTCTGCGTCGGAGCGACTTTGTAACGCGTGGAGAACTACACCACTGTTAGTTAAGTGTTGTGAAGATAAAGTAAACAACGCTGATTTAGCCACTGGCTAGCGCATGAGCACTGCAGCGTGTTGGGAGAGACGCAGGCTGCAGGAAGAGAGGAGACTTGAGTAGAAGGACTTTGGAACGGACACGTTGGGACCGGGTCGGGAGTTCTGGCACTGGGAAAAGACGGATGAACAACTTGAGGTGAGTTTGGGAGTCAGGGACACTAATTGGAGGCTGGTGTCCAGATAATAGCAGGCGGGTGTCTGAACATATGCACCTTCCTTCTGTTGGACATGATGACGAACTGACACATTTGATGTGTCTTTTGATTTAATTGTTTTTTATTCAAACTAACAACTACAGCAACGGTGTAGCTATTCTTTTCCATTTCTGAGTTGAATTAGCAGACTCCATGCTTCCAGGGCGCACTGCTGCCCTCTGCTGGTTCTTTCAGGTTACAGTCATAGTCCAAACACATAACGTGGAGCTCGTATGTCCCTAAACAGCTACTGTACTTTAAGATGGTGGATGACCATGGAGCGTCGACCACAGTTTATGTAAATAAAAAAATATAATGTCAAGTTGAGAGGAATGTTTAGAATTGATGCTGGTGAGAAATATTAGTGAAAAAGGACAAGTTTGTGAACTGGAAACACAGGATGATAGTAAACTGGTGAAAATATCACACACTGGGGCTTTAAGATGGAATACAGGGGTGTGAAAAACTATCTGCCCCCTTCCTGATTTCTTATTCTTTTGCATGTTTGTCACACAAAATGTTTCTGATCATCAAACACATTTAACCGTTAGTCAAAGATAACACAAGTAAACAAAATGCAGTTTTGAAGTGATGGTTTTTATTATTTAGGGAGAGAACAAAATCCAAACCTGCATTGCCCTGTGTGAAAAAGTAATTGCTCCCCTTGTTAAAAAATAACCCACCTGTGGTGTTTCACACCTGAGTTCAATTTCTGTAGCCACCCCCAAGCCTGATTACTGCCACACCTGTTTCAATCAAGAAATCACTTAAATATGAGCTGCCTGACACAGAGAAGTAGACCAAAAGCACCTCAAAAGCTAGACATCATGCCAAGATCCAAATAAATTCAAGAACAAATGAGAACAAAAGTCATTGAGATCTATGAGTCTGGTAAAGGTTATAAAGCCTTTTCTAAAGCTTTGGGACTCCAGCGAACCACAGTGAGAGCCATTATCCACAAATGGCAACAACATGGAACAGTGGTGCACCTTCCCAGGAGAGGGCGGCCGACCAAAATTACCCCAAGAGCGCAGAGACAACTCATCCGAGAGGTCACAGAAGACCCCAGGACAACTTCTAAAGAACTGCAGCCTCACTTGCCTCAATTAAGGTCAAAGTTCACGACTCCATCATCAGAAAGAGACTGGGCAAAAATGGCCTGCATGGCAGATTTCCAAGACACAAACCAGTGTTAAGCAAAAAGAACATTAGGGCTCGTCTAAATTTTGCTAAGAAATATCTCAGTGATTGCCAAGACTTTGGGGAAAACACTTCGTGGACTGATGAGACAAAAGTTGAACTTTTTGGAAGGCAAATGTCCCGTTACATCTGGCGTAGAAGTAACACAGCATTTCAGACAAAGAGCATCATACCAACAGTAAAACATGGTGGTGGTAGTGTGATGATCTGGGGTTGTTTTGCTGCTTCAGGAACTGGAAGGCTTGCTGTGATAAATGGAACCATGAATTCTACCGTCTACCAAAACATCCTGAAGGAGAACGTCCGACCATCTGTTCGTCAACTAAAGCTGAAGCCATCTTGGGCGCTGCAGCAGGACAATGACCCAAAACACACCAGCAAATCCACCTCTGAATGGCTGAAGAACAACAAAATGAAGACTTTGGAGTGGCCTAGTCAAAGTCCTGACCTGAATCCTGTTGAGATGCTATGGCATGACCTTAAAAAGGCGGTTCATGCAAGAAAACCCTCAAATAAAGCTGAATTACAACAATTCTGCAAAGATGAGTGGACCAAAATTCCTCCAGAGCGCTGTAAAAGACTCGTTATCGCAAACGCTTGATTGCAGCTATTGCTGCTAAGGGAGGCCCAACCAGTTATTAGGTTCAGGGAGCAATTACTGTTTCACACAGGGCAATGTGGGTTTGGACTTTGTTCTCTCCCTAAATAATAAAAAACATCATTTCTAAACTGCATTTTGTTTACTTGTGTTATCTTTGACTAACGGTTAAATGTGTTTGATGATCAGAAACATTTTGTGTGACAAGCATGCAAAAGAATAAGAAATCAGGAAGGAGGCAGTTTTTCACACCACTGTTTTCCATATAAATATTGAATATCAACCTGATTGATCTGTGAATGTTTAATAAGATTCTAGGGTTGTTTACTTCTCTAGGGACCATAAACACACTTTGTATTAAGACAGTCAGTACATAGTTTATAAAATGAATATTAACTAATGATGCATGACAAGATACGAATAATGAGATGTGGTGTGGTGGATGTGAGGTGGTGTGATGGAAGCTAGATGTTGTAGCAACCTGAGGGAAATTGTGAACTCTGGGTGTACAAGAACTTGTTTGGTTCTAGAGTTGTTTAATAAAAACGGCATCAGACGCAATCTGTCGTGCCAAGTCTACGCACCCTTGGTGTGGAGGTTCTCGTTCGATCCAGGGGGTTCGATGGTCACTGCCGGTGGACAGTTCCAATAAGACCCGTCCAGTCTGCGATCCCTCAAGGTGAAGGCTGAAAGCTGGAATGCTTATTTGCGTCTAAGGTGGATGTTTGCTTGGCTCTTAGAAGAGCCGGTTGTCTGGCATCAGCTGCAGCGTTGCAGAGGTTTGACTGGAGGTCAAAGGAGATGGTTTCAAAAGAGGCTTCTTTCCCAATCTGGCCGAATCGGGAGTCAGCTGGAAACTAAATTACTCGGGAAGTAATCCTTGTTTTATGAAACCACCGTGTTATGATTTTTGGCCAAGTTTGGCAAATCAGAATTTAACGTTTCTGAGTATTTACCTCAGAAATCCACGCCCTCCTTCAGAAACAAAAGGTTTTTAACTTTGAGAATGATCAAAACACTAATGTGAGGTGAATATTGACCTTAGCATGCATCTTATTGTAATGTTTATAAGTGTAAACAATGATTAGCTTGTTAAATCAAACACACGCTGATTTGTGATATAAATGGATCATTGTAAGAACAATATTCATTTCAAACTCGTTGATTTAAATGCAGATTATTCAAACATTTGATTTAAACATCGTGTTCATTCATCACATGTGATTATTTTACTTATAAAACCCTGTAGGACCTTCCAGTAGCTAATGAGGAATTCAGCACTCTGGCTCCTGCGTCAGACCTTGGGACAGATTATTTACGTCTGCGTTGAGGAACAATAAGTGGGCAGAGGTTGATTTCTGCGTCTGGATCCTCCAGCTGGTGCAGCCCTGACTTTGCAGTTTCTGGCACGTATAAAACGTTATGCCGCATAAAAATTGACCCCTTTGGTACGTTACCATAATAATAATAATGGAAGTGCACAGAGTATTGAACAGAAATCCAGACTGGTTCAGGTCAGAACTTCTAGCCCACACAGCAGCTTTATTAAATTGACATGAATTTTTAACAAACTGCAGGATTAGTAAGTGACTGAGCAGCAATAAGATCGTAAAACTATCCACCGAGCGTCTGTATAGTTCCTCCTCCTGTTTTAATCATTCAGTCTTCAGAGACAGATGCCTTCTTCTGGGAGAGTACCAGGTCCTTCACCTGGGGGGTCATGGTCCTGAGCTGTGCGCGGATGCCCTGGGCCTCCTCCTGGTCCTGCTCCTCCTTCCGGTCCTGACTCTGACTCACGAGTTGCTTCACCACTAGGCTCTGGTAGGCTGACAGAAGGTGCTGCTGCTCCTGGACAAACACACACCAACACATGCGGAGTTTAAAAACAACAATCCAGTCAAGCATTTGCAGAAACACAAACATACACACACACCTATTACGACTTGTGCCATCTCTAACCGGAGGCGGAGCCTGATGTTTACGCACACACTGGTTATGTTTGAAGATATAAGATTGCTTTGGGAGGGAGTCCACATTTTCTTATCTAGCCGAGGAAAAAGTCCTTGGATAAATGAAAATATTTAGTTTCAGAAGGACATGCTGTAGAGCAGAAAGCTGTTAGAAGTTCAGTGACAGTACCCTCACTAAATAGAATATCTACTAAGAAATCACAATGTTGCCAAAGCATCACTACTTGGTATACAGGTCCTTCTAAAAATTAGCATATTGTGATAAAGTTCATTATTGTCTGTAATGTACTGATAAACATTAGACTTTCATATATTAGATTCATTACACACAACTGAAGTAGTTCAAGCCTTTTATTGTTTCTAATATTGATGATTTTGGCGTACAGCTCATGAAAACCCAACATTCCTATCTCAAATAATTAGCATATTTCATCCGACCAATAAAAGAAAAGTGTTTTTAATACAAAAAAACTCAACCTTCAAATAATTATGTTCAGTTATGCACTCAGTACTTGGTCGGGAATCCTTTTGCAGAAATGACTGCTTCAGTGCGGCGTGGCATGGAGGCAATCAGCCTGTGGCACTGCTGAGGTGTTATGGAGGCCCAGGATGCTTCTATAGCGGCCTTAAGCTCATCCAGAGTGTTGGGTCTTGTGTATCTCAACTTTCTCTTCACAACATCCCACAGATTCTGTTGGCGCAGCATGCATCTTGCCATCTCAAACAAGGCCCTCCATGCTCTTTCTGCAGTCCCATTCTGATGGGGTGAGTAAGGAGCTGAGGTTTCATGTCTGATGGCATTCTTGCTGAGCAGTGATTGAAACACCGAAGATGTAAATTCTGTCCCATTATCGGATCTTATGCATTTGATTTTTCCATAAGGGGCAACATCAGCAATGAATCTCTCAGTAGCTTTAACCAGGGTATCTGCAGGTTTAAGGGAGCCAAATTTAAGACTTTTTAAGGCCACTTTGACCAAATTTAAGCTATTTTTAAAATTAAATTTAAGCTATAATTTCCAGCTATTGCCTGGAAACGGTGCTAACCACGTCGCGAACGTGGGATTAGCCATCCCGTTACCATTAAACTTGCACTTCCCCATGGCGTAAGCTCCCACTAGCTTAACCAGCTAATGTGCTCATCTAAAAATAGTCCCCTTTCACAACCAACTGCATGTGTCGCTTACGCCAACACCATACACAAAAAATGCTGAACACTAACTAGAAATTCACGAAAATTTTATAGAAATAAAAGAATCTTGTTTATTGGGTCTTTGGTAATTTAAGACCTTTGGAAACTATTTAAGGATTATTTGTCATTTTTAAGGATTTTTAAGGCCTTAAATTTGGAAAAGCCAATTTAAGACTTTTTAAGGACCCGCGGATACCCTGTTTAACAGTATCACTCTTAGCCTTAGGAAAATAAGTGAACATGGCTCCTGAATAGTCATCTGTGAATACAACAGCAAATCTGAATCCATCTTTACCTGCTGGCTCTATCGGCCCAGCCAGGTGAATGTGCACTTCTTTAGCCTTCTCGTCTAGATTTGTATTTCTACTTTGTGCAAACTTTCCATTAATACACACTTCACATTTCTGATTAGCTTTCTTGCTTTCCCTTTTTATTTTCATACCTTTTGTGACATTTTCTAATTTCAGTATGTCGACCTGTGACCTAGGCTGCCCTGGTACCAAGTGTACCGATGGGCATCCTTATGTTCGAACATGGTGTTCGTTATGGCCAAACTGCGGCTTGCACAGAAGTCCAATAACGAAACACCACTCAAGCTCAGATCAGGCGGGCCGTTCCTTCCAATCACACCCTTCCAGGTCATGCTGTCATTGCCCACATGACCAATGTAGCCCCCAGCAGGACAATGGAGTCCCCTGATGGAGCACTATCTAGCACTCGTCCCAGGGACTCCAAAAAGGGGTGGGTAATCTGAACTGAAATTTGGGGCATAAGCACAGTCAGGACCCGTTCCCCGACCCGAAGGCGCAGGGAAGCTACCCTCTCGTCCCCCGGGGTAAACCCCAACACACAGGCAGAGAGTCTTGGGGCTAACAAAAAGCCAACCCCAGCCCTCCGCCAGTCACCTGGAGCAACTCCAGCAAAGGAGTGTCCAACCCCTCTCAAGGACTTGGGTTCCAGAGCCAATGCTATGTGTCGAGGTGAGTCCGACTATATCTAGCCGGTACCGCTCAACCTCTGCCACAAGCTCCTGCTCCTTCCCCACCAGCGAGGCGACGTTCCATGTCCCAATAACCAGTTTCCTTGTCCGGGGATCGGACCGCCAAGGCTCCCGCCTCGATCTGCCACCCGATCCACACTGCACCAGAGAGTGCTGATTGTGCCCTCTTAAATTATCATCTATGAATGACTTGGTTCGCTCCCTCAAGCAGATTCTTAAATACTATCATTAAATCAATATCATTAGAGATTATCCAATATCTTCAAAAACACTATCTATTGTAGATATATGGGTTTTTAAGTTTCCATGGGTTATTTTCTTTTACAATATGTTGTTCTCATATGACATTAGACATCTTAAAGGACAAGACTATTACTCGAACCATGGGCCAAGTCCATTTATAACCTTGAAACTTTCCTAACAAATGAATCTTCTAAACAAATCTCCCCGTTTATGACTGAAGTTACCTACACCTTGATTTAGTGTTCATGTACTTCAGTAGCATTGATTTGTGATCAGTTACTTCTATAGGAGGATGTTAAACTAACTGCATGTTTGCAGAATCTAGTTATCTACTAGTTATTAACAGTATGGAAGTTATGTAAATACCTCTACCTTGTGTTAGCCAATTTATCTCGTTTCTAAGTTAACTGTCTATGTAATTGTTACGTGCCGTGCCCCTTTTCGGCCACAAGACGGCCCCAGAGGCCTTTGCCTCGCCTGTCTCCTGGTAACCAGCTGTTACCAATTACTGAAATCACTTGGCAGCTGTTAAAAGCTGCTTTCTTGCTCTAAGTCAGTGAGAAGATCAAGGATAGTGCAGACTGGGAACAGTTTGGGCTATTCTCTTCTCCTCGTTCGCTCTTTTGGTAAAACTCGTTATATTTAGACTTTGGTGCTCTTGGTTTTTGGATTTGGATTTTGGATTTGACTATTTGGTCATTTGACTTCGGACCGGCATTTGGACTTAGAGTTTAGGATCTCCCCTTTGGAAATTTATATATATATATATATATATATATATATATATATATATATATATATTATTCTCTGTTTCCTCCCCATCCCCTTCTGGGTTGGCGCTTTTCGTTATCACCCTTTTAAATATAGCTCCTTTTGTTTTGTGTATATAGTATTTGGTTTTAGGTTCTTTGTATATATTCGTTTTGTAATAAAGATTCTGTTTTTTTAAGCGACACAGCACTTTCTTTATTATTAAATCCACACACCACTTTTATTACTCCCCTCCTCATCTCTCCTAGAGCCGGGGACGTAATAATCTAGGGGCTCGTCCGGGATATATCTATATATTACCATCTTTCCCGACACATTAGGTGTGTGTAAAAATATTAACTGTGTGTTTGTATCCCTTAGAGGAGGAGCATGGCAACCTTTGACCTGCACGCATTTGTGGCGGCTCCTTCGCGCCGGCTTCTGGAGAGTTGCTGCAAAGCCGATCTGCGGCAGGTTGCCTCCCATTTCAGTCTTCCCCTTCCGAAGAAGCTCACCAAGGCGTAATTTTTGCTACTGTTCTTTTCTTACAATTTCTCTTGTTACTCCTAGGTTATGTGAATAACTGTTGTAGTCATTTTCTATTTTCTTTACACGGATAATGGCTTTTTGTTAGTTGTTGGTTTGTTTTGGGTTGTTTTGTTGTTTTACGCACACTGTGTTACACGACTTTGCCCCTTGATGGCTTGAACTCGTAATTGTAAGTTCCTTGGGATGGGGGTGCTTTTCATATGTTATGTGAGGTCCTATTTTTACATCAGGTTGGCGCAGTACTTGCCCGCATCGGACCCTTTAGTTTATGTTTTGTTTCTGGTGAGCCCTGAGTTGCCTCATGCCTCAAGAGGAGGGAAGGCTGATAAAGATTTCCTCACATTATTACACTGCCTGGATGGAAATACCTTAAATATTAGATGACAAGGATTGTTGCTGAAAACGATTCAAAATCAACAGTGATCTCCCAGAATTTTCTTGTGCTTTTTCGCCACAGGTGATGAAACCAGGAAATTGGGGTTTGATGAAGGTGCTGATGCGAAACAGATGGGGCAGCCAGAGGTCCATTCGAAGTACTCCTCATCACTCCCACTGCTGTGGAGATTGCTGAGAGGCCATTTTGGATTCATCTATCCCACTGCAAGCTTACCAACCAACCGCTTTAGCGCGGCAACGAAGTCCGGCTACAAAGGGGTGGGCCACCACTAGGGTGCCATCTCTCAAACCGGTGAAGATAAGATCAAGATAAGATAAGAAAGATCTGCTTCTAGCTTGCTGGGTTCACCACATCGTTGATGTTGGTGGTTGCACTCATGGCCCTGCACTTGGGCCGCCTCTCAGCACCTGATGGAAAAACTGAGACAGCAGCATTTGAGGGGGTACTAGAACTGGAACTGAAACAACGGATTGGGGCTCCTCCCTGACCACACACCTACATGACAACGTAACCTGCATCCACCTCGGCTGAAGACCCCCTGGACGCAACTACAACAGGAAACAGCGAAGAAGAGACGCAGGGAAAGGATCAACTACCTCAAGCACCTGCACCCAAATCTCCAGACTGGTTTCACGGTCAAGGACCTGTAGGACCTTTTCGGGGACAAGATCAGCTCCCTGACAATTGAACAACCGCCTCAACACACCATGGAAGGACCCTGAAGTCTTCCTATTGAGAAGTTGAACATGTTCCGAACTACGTTATTACGTTCCGGACCTGGACTTCAAGACACTTATCAACGTAAGACTGAAACATCCTGATCAAAGGAAGAGGACTCTGACTTTCAAACCTATTCTCCAACCGGGACTCTCAGTCCATGGACACGCCCTTGATGAAGAACGCCTGGCTTGCCTCAGCTCTGCCATAGTTAGAGCTGCGTAAATTAATATTACACCTTCATTTTTCCTCCTTCACAGATTCGTCTGCAACTCGGAGCTTTAATCTAAAGTCACCTGATGTTTCAATACACTGTACAGATGTTTTCTGTGTATTATATGGTTTTGCGAACCCTTCCCAATCTCCTTACAGGAACTGCCATAAGATTGTAGAATTGTGCATGACAGTAAATTTGTTTCAATATGTATGAAATAGCTTTTAAGGTTATAATTGTATTGACTTAGCCGATTCTATTCTCTTCTCTCTGTGAACCGCTGTAAGATATTATTGTCAGTTGTGTTTGCCTTATCGTTTTATTACCTTATTAGTTCTTATTATTTTGCTGATTTTTGTATTACACTTTGTATGGAATGATTCTTTGGACAAGTTAACAAGATTGAAATTACGATACGCAATAGACAAATGATTGCAGCACCTCATGCCGTGTTCGCACTTCATCGTGTTGATTCTGAAGCTTTCATATCTGATCGTAGTGTTTATTACTTACTTATTATTTTTCTTGTTTTGATGCTTATCATTTTTTGCCTTGAGACGTGATTGATGTAGCTTTCATAGATAATGGTGACTAGTTATGGAAGTGGATAATATTCCTCATTATTTGACTTATTTTTATTTTCCTTACTTGGTTTTGTTTTGTTGCTTCCTTTTGTTTGGTTATCCTATTCGGATAAACAGGAAGGAATGTTATGGAAACATTAATATTTATTAATTTTTGATCATGGACTCAATCAAACACACACATTCTTGACTTCCCACACACACACACACACGGATGTTTGGGCATTTTGCCTCGTGCATCATGCCACAGTTATAACTGTATGACTTGTCTGTTCATTGTCTCATCTCTACTATAGGAAATGGGTTATTGATAAACATATTGATAAAATCCACAACAGCCTGAATTCTGAATGAAGGTATTTTGGACTATCTGTCTTTATAAAACATCTCTAGTTCATTCAGGTTTGATGGCTTCTGAACATGGACAGCTCTGGTTAACTCACACCACAGATTTTCAATACATTTCAGGTCTGGGGAATGAGATGGCCATTCGAGAACGTTCTACTTGTTCCTCTGCATGAATGCCTTGGTGGGTGTTTAGCAGTGTTTAGGGTTGTTGTTAGGGTTGGGCATCGAGCATCGATTGGAACCGGTTCCAACTGTTAGTTTTTCCCAGAATCGTTCAAAGTTTTTTATCTCGATTCCCAGAATGCCGACCGGAAGAGGAATCCGCGGCCGATCTCCGTGAAAAATAAACGTGATCTGCAAATTGTGATCAACGCTTTCCAGAGCTGATCACACCAGCTGTCTGTGTGCAGCACTGGAGTTCTGGTACTGGAGACATGCCCAATGTCTCTTGAGGGCCACTCAAAAATACTGGTTCTAAACAGCTTTTATCACTTAAGAACCAGATGTCAGTGAGGTTCTGCCAGCACCAGAGTGATATGTTCCCGACATCAAGTGCTTGTCAAAAACCTAGCAGCTGAGTTTTGAACAAGCTGGAGGTGTGTACCCGTGCCCTGACTCAGACCAGCATACAAGGCACAAGTAGTCGAGTCTGGACAGGACAAAGCCATGAATAACAGCCTGTAGGTACTCTAGATAGCAGGGGCTTATCCTAGTCAGATGAAAAAAACTGCTAATTTGTGCCTCAAATTTCTGCGCTGAATCACTGTTTACACCAAGATTAGTTACAACTTTCCTCCCATAAAGGGCCAAGATCCACAGAAGAGGCTGAACCCTCTGGTGTACCCGGGATGTTATGGATTTCTGAAAAACCATACATAAGTTCTGAAAGTAGAAAACTCCAGAGAGCTCCTTTAAGTCACACCTCTTCAGAATGGCTTTCGGATGGGAAATTGTTAACTAGCAGACTTTGTCCTCGAATTGTATTTATTTTCTTTTACTGTTTTTAACACTTTTTGCTCTAATCCTGTTGTTGCAACCAAATGTTGATGTTCTAGCAATGTGGGCTGCCTACTTGATTTCATGTTTATCAGCCTGTGGAGTATTCTGATTGTGAGGGCTCACTTTAAAATAGGATTACTGCTCTTCTGTCCCTTTTACATTCGCCCTCAGTGTTCAAGCACTTAGTTCAGCTGACACGCCATTTTAAATGTGCTCAATAAATAAATACGGTATGGTATGTGTTTAAGTGGACATGATAACTTTAACCTGTACTGGGTGGACATTTCGCTGGTTCACACAATGCTACGCACCCTAAAACTTGGTTTTAGTCACTAAAATGAATGGAAGTCAATGGAGGTCCACACAAGCATTTAAATACAAGTGTGTGTGTGTGTGTGTGAGTGTGAGAAAGACGCACAGTGGGTATTTTGCCCGTGAGCGTGCCGATGATCTGAGGAACACAGCGGCCCGGAGCATGCAGCATGCAGTGGGTGCTGGCCTGGAAGAGCAGCACGCTGGTGAGGTGGAGGACCAGAGCTGGATCCTCGGTCTCCTTCAGCTGTTCAGTCAGAGCCTGGCGGTGCAGGAACTGTGCCTGTCTGGAACACACACACACATGAGAACAGGCTTCTGTAGATGCATCAGCAGAGAGCTGCATCGTTACCTCTCCTTTTTCTTGTCCCCCTTTTTAAGCATGAAGCTGCAGACCTCAGCACACGTTTCCAGGTTGAAGAGGAAGTCTTCCAGGGTCTAGAATCAAAAACAAGGAGGGTGTTTTAGTTTTACCAGTAAACCTCAGTGGTTTAAAAAGGAGAGGAGATTTATAATAAATGATATTTATTCTAACATGTTGAAAGAAAGAAAGCGGAACAGAAAAAAATTCTACTTAGACAGAAATATCAGAGAAAGATTCCTGTCTCACACACACACACACACACACACACACACACACACACACACACACACACACACACACACACACACACACACACACACACACACACACACACACACACACACACACACACACACACACACACACACACCTGATTTCTAGACATGATTAATCCTAGTTAGAACTTATGAGCCTTGAGTGAACGAGGACACGATTCAATGATATTTTTAATTTATTAGCAGTAATAATATTAATTGCCAGAGGAAGCAATAGCCCCGCCCACCCACCCAACCCATTCTGGAGAAAAAAGTCCAGCAGCAGGAAAGCCGGCTTACTTTTCCACTCAGAGAGTTGTGCAGCTTCAAGAGAGGTCCTTTGGTCTCCTCTGACAGTTTCCCCAAGATCTTCACTCTGACCTGAAACATGTTAAACCAGTTAGACCAGTGTACCTCCACAGATGTGTTCATGTCTCCCAGCAGGAGAATCAGGAACCTCGTTGGTGATGGTGCAGGGATTCTCCACCGACATCATCAGGTCTGCAGCCAGGAAGTTCACCAGAATGTTGGTCATATCTGTGCACACGGTCTTCAGGATGTGCTTGGTGATGTGGACCTGGGTCTCATCTGCACATGTTGAGTAAAGACAAATGAGTGTGTGACTGCACCACAACCTTCTGACAGCATTAGGTGGATCACTGACTTCCAAAAAAATAAATCACCTTTTAGGTTATGACCGCTATAGTTTTAAAAGTCGTGCTTATCATACACTGTGGAGGATTTACCCAGCGCTGAAGCGATCAGCAACAAACTACCTCGTGCTGCCTTCCTCGTATCACACTGCAAACCAAACGAAAGCCTTTTCCAGGTCTGGAAGTCTGCAGCTGCTTTGTGTCAGGTTGGGTCACCTTTTATTGGTCCGGAGAAGCTTTAAATGACGATCGTCTTGTTTTTGCTCGAGTAAGTAGTGCCATTTTAATTCATTAACTCATGATAATAATGCTATCGCTAATGCTAACAATGAGTAGGTAGGATCTACATCCTCCTGTCAAGGTTGGTTTATGCTTGACGCGTCCGCGAGGTGCGCACGACTCCGCGCGGAAAAGTTGCGTCATTTTAACAACCACGCGGCGTGGTTGTTAAAATGACGCAACTTTTCCGCGTGGTCCACGCCCCTCCACCGCGCCTCCGCACGGCCCAAAATTTCCACACCGCGCACCTAGGAAATTGTCTTGTCAGGCGGACGGTCGGACGCGGAAAAACATGGCGGACTGGCAAGAACTAGTATGGCAGAGGTTCGTAAATACAGACATTTGTATGATTCAGCTCTCAGAGATCACCGTGATCAACATGTTGTTAATAATTCTTGGAGAGAAATAGCTCGCACTGACGGAAAAGACGAGGACGCTGTTAAAAAATGCTGGAATGCCATGTTGTAAACAGTCATTTTTACTTCTACTATGGTGTAGTGTTGGATGCATGCCGTAGAGCTCCATGCTGCCCCCTACAGTTTGGGAGAATATTGGCTCACCGCAGAGACAAGCCGCACGAACCATAAACGCTGCGAGTTGTGAAGCGCGTTCCATCCACGAGCTGCATCACCAAGCGGAAAGTGAATGCGTCAAGCATAAACCAAGCTTCAGAAGGAGCTTCACTTCCTACCTCCGACAGAACTTCGAACACGTCCCGAGGGAAACGGGACAGTGAGTCCGAGTGGGCCACGTTCCGTGCTTCTATTGTTTAAGCAGCTGACCGGAGCTGCCGCCGCAGGGTTGTCGGTGCCTGTTGTGGTGGCACCCCCTGAACCCGCTGGTGGACACCGGCAGTTAGGGGTGCTGTCAAGCTGAAGAAAGAGTCCTATTGGGTGTCTTTTTGGCCTGTGGGACTCCAGAGGCAGCTGATGGATACTGGCAGTCCGAGCAGAATGCGGCTCGGGTGGTCACAGAGGCAAAAACTCGGGTATGGGAGGAGTTCAGTGAGACCATGAAGCTAGGATCTACTTATAACTAACTTTTTATGCCTTTTTAAGTCCAAATAGCTGGTTGGTTTGTTTGGTTTTAAAAAGGTATAAACGCCACATCACTACACTAAGCTTACTGCTAAAAACATGTTCATGTTTATGTGTTTAGCAGACGCTTTTGTCCAAAGCGACTTACAAGTGATAATCGGCATGTTGCCCTTGAGGCTAACAACAACAACAACAACAACTTGACATCAATCATGGAGAGGAGGGAACAAGGAGTGGACAGTAGAGGGGGGGTGGTTGCAGGGAGGTGCTAGTTTAGAAGATGCTCTCTGAAGAGCAGGGTCTTCAGGAGTTTCTTGAAAATCGAAAAGGAAGCTCCTGTTCTGGTAGTGCTTGGAAGGTCATTCCACATTTGTGGAACGATGCATGAGAAGAGTCTGGATGGTCCTGAGCGTGGTGTAGGCACTGCTAGCCGACAATCCTGTGATGACCGGAGCGGCCGGGCCGAGACGTAAGCCTTTGCAAGAGGATTCAGGTAGATGGGAGCCGTACCATCTCGGACTTTGTATGCTAGTGTTAGCATTTTGAATTTGATGCGTGCTGCTAGCGGTAGCCAGTGGAGCTCAATGAACAGCATTGGCACTCTGAAAGCTATTTGCGGTGAGGACACGTGAAAACTGTTAAGCTGTGGTTTTTCTGGCCGTTTCTAAGCAACAGTTTAATAAAACACTCAGTAATCTCCAGCATCGTCCGTTTCAGCTCCTGTTTTAAGTCGTAGATCACTGATCCACTTCTGCCGTCCTCTTTCAGTACGTGTTTTTAAATAAGTCATTGGTGGCGGACTAAAAATATGTTTGTCTTTGTCCCCATTAGTGATTGTAATAACCGTAGACCACATAAGACTTCAGCATTTTAACGCCCAGTCACCAAACAGGGTTTTGTGCGGACCCCCATGTGCATTGGGATGTACAGTACAGGCCAGAAGTTTGGACACAACTTCTCATTCAATGTGTTTTCATTATCTTCATGACCATGACCATTTACAAAGGGGCCAACAAGTGCTAAACACCTCTGGGAACTCCTTCAAGACTGTTGGAAAACCATTTCAGGTGACTACCTTGCTAAGCTCATCAAGAGAATGCCAGGAGTGTGTAAAGCAGTAATCAGAGCAAAGGGTGGCTCTTTAGAAGAAAACTTAATATAAAGCATGTTTTCAGTTACTTCACCTTTTCTGGTTAAGTACATAACTCCTCATGGGTTCATTCATAGTTTTGATGCCTTCAGTGAGAATCTCCCAATGTAAATGGCCATGAAAATAAAGACAACACATTGAAGGAGAAGGTGTGTCCACACTGTAGATGCATCATGTGAAACCCAGCAATTACCGGAACTCCCAGGTAGTTCCTGGGATGGGGAAATTGACCAGAAGATAGGATGTCCCAGTCCTCTCACCAGGCCTCTCATTTATCGAACATGGCGTAGAATCCTTACTAAAACCGTACTTAAGCTCAGCAAAAATATGTACTTACGCCAAGCAGGTTAGTGATCTATCAAACATGGAGTACGCACAGCTGCACGCAATCTCCGCTTCATAAATCAGAGACTAACGAGAATGTTTCTCAGCTGCATTTTAGTCACATCCCGCCCTCGCCACGCCCACTTACTGCCATAAATGGTCAATGCAAAGTGCCTTGTGGACCTCATGCATGTACATAAGCCAGCTTGTTGCAGCGCTCCGCCAATGACATGGCGACCGTAGATCAAGGAAGATCAAGGAAGTGCTATTTCACACAAGCAGAAGTTGAGGTACCTGTGGGTGAGGTGGAGAAATGAAAGGAAGTGCTTTTGCAAAACAAATAAGAGAAAATCCACGGAGTGGCACAGCGATGCTGAAGCCGTCAATGCTGGGTTCTTCAGAGAGATCTGTGGCGGATATAAAAAAAATGGTCCAATTGGGATTTGATCCCCAGACTCCCAGGTGAAAGTCAAGCGCACTAACAAGTCAGCCAAACGGAGATCTCCCCTGTACAAGTAGCCAAGGTGCATGATCAATTGGGTCACAGTGACAGGACACACACCGTCACACACGCATGATGTTCTGTCTCAATCTGTCCCCCTGCTGATATTCTGCATTTCGTATTCTGTGTGTGTGTGTATGTGTGTGTGTGCGTGTGGGAGGTCTTGTTCTGTGTGAAAACGAAGCGGTACAAGTGATAACGCTGCAGGATTTCATAACTTTATCCTTCTCAGCAGCAGCACTGCAGGCGCTCTCCATGTCCAGCATGTGTGTAAGCCAGGTCCTTAGTCACCTTAAAGTTGTGAACATTTTTCTGCTACGTTTTCTTTCATAAATCCAAAAGTTTGCGTGGAAAGTTGCTTACGCAGTTTTCAGACCCCGTTTTGTGCGTAAGCAAGCTTGATGAATGCGGCTCCTGCCCTTTTAGAACTTTGCACACGTCAGCCTAACGCAACTGCTTTGGCAGTGAGTGATGTCACTGATCAGCGCCAAAAAGCGTTCACAGTATCATTAATAAAATTAAAAGCATTTACTCTATCCAAGTGTATCATAATTTATTCCAATCAGAGGATGAAAGCAGCTGCGTTCAATGACCAGAAGAAGTGCCGTTTTTTACAGCGCTCTGAGTCAACAAAGCTCCGTTAATGAAGTCTGTGGGGGAACTCCGCCGTGTTTTCCGGTGTCGGAGTTAGAGTTTAGACACGATCGGGGCGGTTTCTTCTCTTGCTTCCATTCTGCTTCACCAGCACCTCTAATTTTACCGGTTGTTTTGGACACCGTCTGCTGATGTCATTTCCTACTGAGTTACAACCAATCAGCGTGAGTTAACCAGAGGTTCTGCCCAGCTACCACACAGGACTATTTACAGTACCTTCCCCTGAGAATGGACTTGGAGGGTTCCTGAAAATGGCCGGCCCGGTCAGGTGGAGGCACGTTGGGAGGTTCCTGTAAATCTATCCTGAATCTCCGGAAACGGAAACGCAGCCGTGTGGAGTTGAGGACAGAGTCCACGTGATTTACCAGAGAAGAACTTGGTTCCTTTCTCAAACAGGCGGATGTTGTTGTAGAGGTTGGTGATCTCCTCCTGCAGGTCCTTCATGCTCTTTTTCTTACTGGCCCCTGATGCTGAGCTGCTGGAGGACATGAACACTGTCCTCAGCACCTCCTGGTAGTTCTTGGTTAGAGGTCTGCAGAGACAGGAAGTGTGTGTTAATGGTGTCCTGTGGAAACGGAGAACCGGAAGGTCAGGAGTAGGGCTGCAACAACGAATCGATAAATTCGATGAAAATCGATTACTAAAAGCGTTGGCAACGAATTGCGTCATCGATTCGTTGTGTTGCACAACTCTTCCAAAAGCCCCCTCCCCTCCCGCCCGCCGTTGCGCGCAGACCGCAGAGCCGGCAGGTGTTTGGAAAGAGGAACATGGCAGAAGCAGCGAGACCCAAAAAAAAGTAAAAACTTCTAAAGTTTGGGAGCATTTTCAGTTAAATCAGGCGAAGACATTCGTTACCTGCAACGTTTGTAGGTCAGACTTAGCATGGCATTGGAGTGCTGCAGTGATGATGCAGCATCTTAAACGCAAGCATGTCAGAATCATCAGCGAGGAAGGAGAGAGCTCGGTGTCCGGGTAAGTTAAAAACTTTTCAAAAGTGATTCACCCAAGCCCCTGATTATTACACAGGCTAGACATGTTCTAAGCTCGTTAAAAAAAGTCTATAAAATCGTAAGCGCGACGCTATTAGATAGGCGGGGGGGTGGGGGGAACAACTCGCGCCGCTGCGAACCGGTTCCGCCGTCACATTCCCGCAGAAACTGGTTGATCACACCGGGGCCAGACTACTAACATGTGGCTTTACAACCACAATGTCCTCAGAAGCGAAAACGCTTTTAAAAGGGAGGGAGGAGTCCTAACTGTTGCTGCAGGCGTGTTGTGTGAGAGTGCAGTTATATACTGGTTAATATATTTTTGGGTTCAGTTGCTTTCATGTGGCCTAATGTGAGTCTATTTGGGATCATTGGAATGATCAGCAGCATCTCTTGATGTGACTTTATGGCAGTTGCCCAGGGCATCATCACAAGGAGGATGGCATTCATTTATTTTTGTTTTATTTGGTATTTTTTCAGTCATTTTTGGAAATAGTGATTAATTTTGATTAATTCACAGCCTATGTTTAATTACATTAAAAAATTAGTTGTTTGACATCCCCAATTATAATAAATGTCTACAGATGAGATCAAACAAAACAGATGAGAATTGCCCTTAAAGAGCAAGTCACCCCCAAATAAACTTTTTTGCTGATAAGCTAAATAAACGAGTGTCTAATCGTGCTGCAGACACGTGTCGTCAATAATTTGGCACTTCAGTGCATCTTAGTTAAAATTTAAATATTCTGCCTAAAACTGGCAGTGTTGTGCCGTTGTCAGGTAAAAACTCTGCACTGTATTTTAATTTAAATCTGCCACCGCTATTGGCTAAGAGGTATGCTATGATGTAAACTAGTACATTATGATGTCACAATGCTGTCGTGAGCCTGTGTGTGTGTAGGGTTAGGGTTAGGGTTAGGCAGCTCCGCCCCCTCGGTCTGCCAGGCAACAGCATGTGTTGCATTTTTCAAACATGAAGTGGGAGTGGAGTTAGACTCTGGTAGGAGGTGACTTGCTCTTTAAGCTGTTTAACTTGGACCAAGCATTTTAGGTCACAGATAGATGTAGCTTAGGGTCTCTGTCTATACACCTTATAAGACAATTTAGGTGATGGCATGTTGTTTTTCTGCTATTGAACTGTTTTCTAATAATGTTGTGTTTAATAAAGTGAAGGAAGGAGAGAAATAATGTTTCCCTAGCAGTTTTTAAAAATGTCCCTATGTAATCCGATTAATCGATTAATCGTGTCGAGACCCCATCCGATTAATCGATTATCCAAATAATCGTTTGTTGCAGCCCTAGTCAGGAGTTACCTGAGTAAATGTTCTGCCAGCTCAGAGAGGACCTCCTCAGGACAGTCACCGAGTCTCTTCTCTAGAACACAGGCTATCTCCTCCTGGGTCATGAAAGGGCTTTCAGCCTGTTTGCTACGACCTGCAAAGTAAAACACAACTAAAGTAGTCTCACCAGATCCTTCCGTTAGCGCCCATAAGAGTGGGAGGTACTTTGCTGTGAGGGTACATAGTCCTCATCGCTGTCCTCCTCCCTTCTCCCTTTCTTCTTGGTTTTACGGATGCGAATCTCTCTGGCGTTGCTTCCTCCTCCTCCTGCCTTGCTGCCACTGCCCTCTGTCAGACGAGTCACAGACATGACCGAAAGCCCTCCCGCAGACCGCTCAGGCGTCTGGGTGCTGCTGTGACGAGGAGCTACCTCTGTCTGCGGACAAACGCACCTGCAGCCTTCTTCCTGCGCTCGGCTTCTCTTTTCTCCTTCTTGGAGGGAGCCGAGCTCTCCGTCAGGATGGACGCCTGCTTCAGATCCTCTTCGGTGACCAGAAACACGGGATTGTTTTTCACCTCCTGAGAAGCACAAGCTGTAGATCTAAAGGAACCTTTTTCAGACAGATGACGGGACGCTGCAGTACCGTTTGTGCTTTCTGCTGCAGGGCCTCGTCAAACAACGTCAGACAGCTACTGATGAACTTCTCACTGACAACCACGGCCCCCCCGAGCAGTCTGGCTGAAGACTGGGTACTCGTGTTTCTTATGGCCTGGCTGATGAGCATCCCCGTGTCCTCCACAGACAGGCAGCTGGGCAGGATCGGCTAAAAGCCACAACAACAAACAAGGAGAAGCAGACAGACCTAAACCAGTCGCACCCAGATCTGCTTCTGCTCCAGACAGGTTTCATTAGTGAGACCCCTGGTCGTTAACGCAAGGATCTCAAATTAGCCAATAGCAGCAAGGTTAACATTTCTCTGGCGTGAGTTCTTGTTACACATTTCATACAGACAGACATGTTGTATCAGCTGATCAGATGATTCTAAAAGCTGCTGTGGTAACCTCATCTAGGACCTGTCTGGTTTCTGGCTCCACGCTCGGGTCGAGATGTTTCAGTTCAGCTGCTGAGCAGCTGACAGGTCAAGTGTTGTTTCTGTAATAACCTGAAGGTCTGTCCATGTGGCAGAGCTGACAGCTTCCTCCACAGAGGCCTCCACCTGGTCCACCAGAGCCTGACCCACACAGGCTGCTCTGAGAAACAACAGCTTACTGGACTTGAAACGCTTCCTAATGTAGCCCGACGGGTCCGGGATCCCGAGCCTGAGCAAGGCATCGAACTCTGTAAGAGAGAGAAGAGCATCACCTAGAGTTCACTAAGCATGGGTCAGCTATCGGGGGGGGGGGGGGGGGTAGTCATCAGAAACCAGACTGGACAGGTCCTGATCAGTTACCGGGACACCGTGGGGACATGACTGTCTTCTGTAAACCACTTCTAAGATTAAAGTTGAAATATAGATGAGGGATCGTTTGTTTTGGTTTCATTCCCATAATTGCACGTTGTCTATGCTGTAAAAGGATGTATTCAGCAGGACTTCATACCCCAGGACCCATGTCCCTCACACCCTGGACACAGAAGTCTCCAGACCAGGAACAGCTCCCTCAAACACAGGTTCTGGATGTTCATCAGCCCCATGAGATGTCTAAGCTGCAGCTGTTACACACCTGCTTAGACTCTATCAAAGCCTGGATGGTGGGAGCTTTCTACAGCTGAATGAAGATAAGACTGAGATCCTCATCTGTGCCCCAGACAAGCTGGTTCCCAAAGTCAGAGACTCTCTTGGTCAGCTTGCTTCCCACACCAAACCCTCTGTCAGGAATCTTGGCGTGACCTTTGACCCAGCTCTCACCCTGGATTCTCGTGTCAGTTCTCTTGTTGGCTCTTCCTTCTTCCATCTCAGGAACGTTGCTAAGCTGAGTCCCATTCTGTCCCGCTCTGAACTTGAGACAGTTCTCCACACCTTCATCTCCTCACGCTTAGACTACTGTAACTCTCTTTTCACGTGTCTGAGCAGAACCTCCCTGAACCGTCTACAGGTGGTTCAGAACGCCTGTGCTCGGCTTCTGACCAAGTCCTCCAAACACACCCACATCACCCCGCTTCTCCTCCAGCTTCACTGGCTGCCAGTCAACTTCAGGGTTCATTTCAAGATCCTGGTTCTGGTCTATAGGGCCTTACATGGACAAGCACCATCTTACATTGGTGATCTTCTTACCCCCAAATTCCACTACCTCCGCTCCGACACGAACGCCGGAGCAAAATCGGTCCCGTTGTAGTCAATCAGAGCAATTCCACTACTGCGGCCGTGCTCCGGCAGTGCGGCGCCGTGCGCTGCCCTCTGTTCCGGCGTCCGGCAAAAATAGAATCGATCCTATTTTCGCCGGACGCCGGAGCACCTCCGCAGTAAATGGACAGAAATCACAACGGCCCAACAGGAAAAGGAGCAAGCACAACTTCCGTTATTTCACAATAGATCGATAAACAAAAGGCGTTTTTTGTTTCATCTGCACAGGTTTAACAACTTTTAACAACTATCAGTGGCGGCTGAAGTTTAAATGCACAAAAGTAAGCCATAAATACAGTTTCCACTATCAAAGTAGTCACACTTTGTTGATCCAAACACTGCTGATCTCTCAACACAAATGATGGGCAGATTAAACAGTTCATGCCGATGCTTCTCCCACACAACGGGTGTTTGGATCTAACTTCCACGTTTATTGCTCGGACTGTATCGCAAGATCTCGAAAATCCCGCGCATGCCTATTTGCGCACCTCAGGTCTCCGCACCGGAGCGGAGCCGTTGTAGAGCGGGTACCAGTAAACATTGAGTTCGGAAGCGAGCGGACCGGAGCGGAGGTAGTGGAATTTGGGGGTTAGTCCCTACACCCCCAGCAGGTCCCTGAGGTCCAGTGACCAAAGCCTACTGGTTGTGCAGCACCAGGCTAAAGGTCAAAGGTGACAGATCATCTGCTGCTGTGGCCCCCAGACTCTGGACCTCTCTCCCCCTGAGCCTGAGATCAGTGGACTCAGTGGTCTCCTTTAAAAAGCAGCTGAAGACTCACTTGTTCAAGCTGGCTTTTGTATGACCTTCTTCACCTCTCTCTCTTTATTCTGCTCTCCCCACCTATTCCACCTTCCTCAGGATCCACTGGTTTCCCTCTTTCCTGTTCACTCTCTCTTTCTTAACAGTTTTTAATCCCAATTGTCTGTTTTTGCTCATTTTAAATATATTTTTCAACATTTTCTAAATGCTTTTTAATATTTTTACATTTTTTGTTTTTGTGAAGCGCCTCGTGATTTTTATCTTGAGAGGCGCTATAGAAATGATCTTTTCTTCTTCTTCTATCTTTGTTTCACACGGTACCTGGACTCACCGCTGCCCTTAGTCTAGTAACTACATTAGTTACATTAAATAAGTCAGGTGATATTACTGCAACAGAAGATTCAGATATAAATGATGAAACTGGACCTAAATATCCATTTTGCTGGAGGAAGGAGTCCACCCAGGAGTTCTGTGTTCTGGCGTAGATATCAGGGATGTACACGGCTTTGTCCTGTCGGCCTCCTACCACACTTCCTTTGAGACGTCCAGAGATCACCAACTCCTCCAGAACCGCTGAGACATGAAAGCATCATTTCCACGGTGACCCACTCACTACAGAACAGAAGATCAAGTCTCTCCTTACAGTACAGAAGATGCTCCTGAAATCCAAAGGCTCCAATCATGGTGCTGATGGGTGTGGGCCTACAGAACAGAAGCAGACAGCAGCTCTGATCCCAGACCAGTTTTCTGTTTGACCTCATGAATTTACAAAGTCTAACTAATATTTGATCATTATTATGCATCTTATCTGTGCATCCAAGCATAAACCAGTAGCCTTAAATGGCCTGGTTTGTCTCACCGCAACTTGAACTGGTAAATAAATAAAACGTTGTTTTCAACCTGCAGCCCCACCCCCACCTGGCACGGGTCTCTGCATGAAGAGCACGTATGATTCCAGTGTTTACCTTGTGATTGCACTGAAAAGGCCTCGTATTCTGGCTTTGTGACGGGCCACAAACGCTGGAGTGAAGATGACACCTCGGTTGTACTGGTCCATTTCCCCCTGGATGAGCTTCCCCAGACGTTTGGACAGCTCCTGCAACATGAGAGGAAACACTCGTTTCTAATGAGTGAAGCCGCCGAGCCTGAAGAAATCCACCGAGGCTCAAGTGTGAGTCGAGGAGGAGGCATCGGTCGCCAAGGAGACAGACTCACCTCGGTGAGGAAATCACCCGGGAGGTCGTAGCTTTTACACAGTTCTGCTATACTGATCAACCCCGCCTCTTGTAACTTGTCATTCACCTCCTCTGCCAGGTGTTCCAGGTACGAGCTGCAGCGCGCACACACACACACACACACACACACACACACACACACACACACACACACACACACACACACACACACACACACACAAGTCACTCTACCTATTATGTGTGTGTGTGGTGTGTGTGTGTGTGTGTGTGTGTGTGTGTGTGTGTGTGTGTGTGTGTGTGTGTGTGTGTGTGTGTGTGTGTGTGAATAATGGAAAGTGCTTTGGGAGACTTATACAGTGCTATATAAAGCTAATTTATTATTATTATTATTTCTGGACCAGACCCAAAGTGCTTCACAGAGAACTGATTATTCATTCATGCTGGTGGTGAATGACATCACGGCCACAGCTGCCTTTGGGGGTAGGGGGGTGAAGAAGAAGAAGAAGAAAATATCATTTCTATAGCGCCTCTCGAGATAAAAATCACGAGGCGCTTCACAAAAACAAAAAATGTAAAAATATTAAAAAAATATTTAGAAAATGTTTAAAATATATTTAAAATGAGCAAAAAATAGACAACTGTGATTAAAAAATGTTAAGAGAGAGAGTGAACAGGGAAGAGGGAAATCAGTGGATCCTGAGGAAGGTGGAATAGGTGGGGAGAGCAGAATAAAGAGAGAGAGGTGAAGAAGGTCATACAAAAGCCAGCTTGAACAAGTGAGTCTTCAGCTGCTTTTTAAAGGAGACCACTGAGTCCACTGATCTCAGGCTCAGGGGGAGAGAGGTCCAGAGTCTGGGGGCCACAGCAGCAGATGATCTGTCACCTTTGACCTTTAGCCTGGTGCTGCACAACCAGTAGGCTTTGATCACTGGACCTCAGGGACCTGCTGGGGGTGTAGGGACTAAGAAGATCACCAATGTAAGATGGTGCTTGTCCATGTAAGGCCCTATAGACCAGAACCAGGACCTTGAAATGAACCCTGAAGTTGACTGGCAGCCAGTGAAGCTGGAGGAGAAGCGGGGTGATGTGGGTGTGTTTGGAGGACTTGGTCAGAAGCCGAGCACAGGCGTTCTGAACCACCTGTAGACGGTTCAGGGAGGTTCTGCTCAGACACGTGAAAAGAGCGTTACAGTAGTCTAAGCGTGAGGAGATGAAGGTGTGGAGAACTGTCTCAAGTTCAGAGCGGGACAGAATGGGACTCAGCTTAGCAACGTTCCTGAGATGGAAGAAGGAAGAGCCAACAAGAGAACTGACATGAGAATCCAGGGTGAGAGCTGGGTCAAAGGTCACGCCAAGATTCCTGACGGAAGGTTTGGTGTGAGAAGCAAGCTGACCAAGAGAGTCTCTGACTTTGGGAACCAGCTTGTCTGGGGCACAGATGAGGATCTCAGTCTTATCTTCATTCAGCCTCTGACCACCACCAGCACAGGCAGGTGAAGTGTGTTGTCCGCTCCTGGACAAAAATATGCAAATCTAGCCAAAAAAAAAACCCCTACAAATATTAGGCGACTATAATGACGGAATAGGATTGTGGTTTCTTTAACATGGATGTGTCTGAGTTACTCTGACTGGAGAACTTCAGAGATCTACTGATCTTCTCCACAGAAGGATCACGGTGACGAAGCTCGTCTCTACCCCAGAAACAGCAGCTCCTGACTCTATTCCAGTAAACTCCAGAGAGAGAAACCCTAATACTCACTCATCGATCAGCTGACCCAGAACCAGCTGAGCTCCTCTATCTGACTTTGCAATGTCACTCGCTTTGTTTTCAACATGAACCCAGTCCACGTTGATGATCTGAAATGAAAATTTTCCAGGTAGACTTTATCAGACACCAGAATAAAGTTATAAACTCAAATCATCGTCATCCTGGCTTGTTCGGATGGGCCTGGCTGAGTATACTCACCTGCTGGAGCTCCACAATGTTGATTCTGCCTATAAAACAAAACAACAGCATGTGTTATCTTCACCACAAATGCTCCTTTACTCAGATATCTGGATGTTGACCATTTTAATCACACCTCCATGGACGTAGAGCTCATCCCGGATTTCCCTGCTGATCTGAGCCGGGGTGACGAACTCCTTCCCGTCCAGAGTGAACACCACATCCAGCTTCTTGTCCTCCACCAGCTTGGTGATGATCTCAATGCAGTTCCTCTCGGACAGCCTGTAGAGATGTCAAACACAACTCACCGCTTTCTGTTCTCATTCTCTCGCGCGCAGCTGCTACTGTAGTTTAGTTTGACAAACAAATAGTTAGCTCGTGCTAGCTCTGGCGCTAACTGCACTAACCTCTGCACGGTGTCCGCAAACTGAGCCCTCTGGAAGTCCGCAGCGAGCCGCCGAATCTCCTCCCAGTCAGCCGCCATCGTTTCCACCGAATGACTCTACCTGCAGGAGAACCAGCTCGCAGAGCCGCCTTTTCTCATTGGAGTGGGCTAACTAGCAGCTAGCTAAGCTCCAAACCACACGTCAACACAAAGTGACGTCAGACGGAGAGCCGACAGGGCCAAACTTCTCATTTCCGTCTCAAACTCGTTTATTTAAACGCCTACTGTGTTTCAGAGGCACGGCAGCGTTGTCACTGACAAATATGTAGGAAAACATTTAAACGATCCCGTCTGGTATCCAGTCCAGATTACGAGACTGAAGTGAGCTTCCGATTCGGGAAATGGCTAAAGGGCAATAACTCCCAGCAACACCTTTCACTCTTCATACCTGTATTAAACTATTCTAGACTAATATCAGATTGCACAAAAAATAGTTTGCTATTTGTGAAACCTTTTTCTTATTTGTGAAATAAAAACAATCCAGATTCATGTGTTATTATTATTATTATTATTATTATTATTATTATTATTATTATTATTATTATTATTATATATTTTTGTATCTGGTCCACACTGGAACTGGTCCTGTGCAAAGACTACAACACCCGCTGTTCTCAAACCTGTAGTAGATTCCACCAAGGTCTGCTGATCATCTGCTGCTCAAAGTCCTTACAATGAAGTATAACGCTCGTGGGGAGCGTGCGTTCACCTTTGCTGCTCCCAGACTCTGGAACGCACTCCCTCTGGTGGTATGCCAGGCTTCTTCACTGGCACAGTTTAAATCCAACCTGAATACACATTTCTTTAATTAAGCTTTTGGTCAATGATCAGTCTTTTATGCTGTGACTGTCTTCTGTTTTTATTGACTGTTTTAAACTTTTGTTTTGATTTTAGGTGTTTCTATTTTATGACAGTTTTTATCTGTGCTTTAATGTGTATGTATGTGAATTTGAATGGCTTTTTAGGTTTAACTCTGTGCAGTACTTTGGTCAGCTGACGTGCTGTTTTTAAATGTGCTATGTAAATGAAATTGGATTGGATTGGAAGTAAATAACAAAAAGTTTAATTATGCAAGAACAGGCAATAAAGAAAAAAATGACAGTTGTATGAAATCTGGTCAACATGCATAAAAATGTATTAAATAACCTTTTATGTAAAGCTTTCACACATCTCAGAGTTGGTTTTAATTGTTCTGCTAGTAGTGCAGAATAATCTAGCCCAGGTTTAAACTGTCTTGTAGTTTTGAAAATACAGCTGTTTTTGTCATGGTCTGTGTCTGCATCTTTCCCCATGTGTCTCCTGATGTCCTCCATCCCTCTTTAGATTCCCCTTTTGTGTCTCTTAGCGCCCTCATGTGTCCTTTGTCTGCGTCTTATTTATGTGCCTTCTGTTTGTAGCCTTTCAGGTCATCCCCAGCCCCTCCAGTTGTAGCTCCATCCTCTTTGTCCCCAGCTCGGTGTGTGTGTGTGTGTCCTTCCCCAGCTTAGTGTGTGTGTGTGTGTTCTTCTCCAGTCAGGTCCGGTGTCCTCACCTGCTCCTTCCTGCTCCTCCTCCCTGATTGGTTATTGCCTTCACCTGGTTCTCTCCCCACACACCTGCAGCTCATCTGCCTCCCATTATGTCCCAGTCTATAAAGCCCTGCCTGTTTCTCATTGTCTTGTTGGTTCATTATTGTTTGTCAGCGTGATTTATTTCTGTTAGTCTGCCCGTTCCTCTGGTGTTTTTGGATCTCCTGATCATTTCCTGATTTTTGGATTTTGGCTCCCTGCCTTTTGGATTTATTTTATTTTTGGACTCATCCTACAATAAAAGGAGTTTCTTTTTATCAACTCCTGCCTCGTGTCATCCTGGATATCTTTATTTTGGGTCCAAACAGTCCTCTCAACGTGACAGTTTTAGTGTGGTTTAAGTTAAGTCAGTGACTTGATGCAATTTACTGGGTTCCTTATACAGGTGCTGGCCAGTAAATTAGAATATCATCAAAAGGTTGAAAATATTTCAGTAATTCCATTCAAAACGTGAAACTTGTACATTATATTCATGCAATGCACACAGACCAATGTATTTCCAATGTTCATTACATTTAAATTTGATATTCATAAGTGACAACTAATGAAAACTCCAAATTTGGTATCTCAAAAAATTAGAATATTCTGAAAAGGCTGAATATAGAAGACACCTGCTGCCACTCTAATCAGCTGATTTACTCAAAACACCTGCAAAGGCCTTTAAAAGGTCCCTCAGTCTTGTTTTGAAGGCACCACAATCATGGGGAAGACTTCTGACTTAACAGCTGTCCAAAAGACAATCATTGACACCTTGCACAAGGAGGGCAAGACACAAAAGGTGATTGCTAAAGAAGCTGGCTGTTCGCAGAGCTCTGTGTCCAAGCACATTAACAGACAGGCGAAGGGACGGAAAAAATGTGGTAGAAAAAAGTGTACAAGCTCTAGGGATAACCGCACCCTGCAGAGAATTGTGACGACAAACCCATTCAAAAATGTGGGGGAGATCCACAAAGAGTGGACTGCAGCTGGAGTCAGCGCTTCAAGAACCACCACGAGGAGACTCATGAAAGACATGGGATTCAGGTGTCGCATTCCGTGTGTCAAGCCACTCTTGAACATGAAACAGAGCAAGAAGCGTCTCGCCTGGGCCAAGGACAAAAAGGACTGGACTGATGCTGAGTGGTCCAAAGTTATGTTTTCTGATGAAAGCAAGTTCTGCATTTCCTTTGGAAATCAAGGACCCAGAGTCTGGAGGAAGAGCGGAGAAGCACAGAATCCACGTTGCATGAGGTCCAGTGTAAAGTTTCCACCGTCAGTGATGGTGTGGGGTGCCATGTCATCTGCCGGTGTTGGCCCACTCTGTTTCCTGAGGTCCAGGGTCAATGCAGCCGTCTACCAGGAAGTTTTAGAGCACTTCATGCTTCCTGCTGCTGACCAACTTTATGGGGATGCAGACTTCACCTTTCAACAGGACTTGGCACCTGCACACAGTGCCAAAACCACCAGCACCTGGTTCAAGGACCATGGTATCCCTGTCCTTGATTGGCCAGCAAACTCGCCTGACCTTAACCCCATAGAAAATCTATGGGGTATTGTGAAGCGGAGGATGCAATACGCTAGACCCAACAATGCAGAGGAGCTGAAGACGACTATCAGAGCAACCTGGGCTCTCATAACACCTGAGCAGTGCCACAGACTGATCGAGTCCATGCCACGCCGCATTACTGCAGTTATTGAGGCAAAAGGAGCCCCGACTAAGTATTGAGTGCTATACATGCACATTCTTTTCATGTTCATTCTTTTCAGTTGGCCAACATTAGAGAAACAAACATTTTTTCATTGGCCTTTAGAATATTCTAATTTTCTGAGATACCAGATTTGATGTTTTCATTGGTTGTCACCTATAAATATCAAAATTAAACGTAATAAACATCGGAAATACATTGGTCTGTGTGCATTGCATGAATATAATGTACAAGTTTCACGTTTTGAACGGAATTACTGAAATATTTTCAACCTTTTGATGATATTCTAATTTACTGGCCAGCACCTGTATAGGAATATTTTTTCTGATTGGCTTAATGCTTTACCTGTATTGGAATGCTTTATTATATGAAGTGCCTTGAAGTGACTCTTGTCATGTTGCCGCTTTATAAATAAACTTGAATTGAATAGATGCAGAAAACAGGCATGAATCTGGCTTTACTGAAGTTTCATAAATCACAAACCATGTTTTATATAATCTGCTATTAGCCTAGAATAGTTTAGTACAGGCTTGAAGAGTGTGGGTGTTGTAGTTTTTGCACAGGACCAGTTCCAGTGTGGGCCAGATACAAAAAAAAAAAAAAAAAAAAGAGTAGTAAGAGCCAGAGTAGGCAAGGCAGCTTTATTTTATAGATCACATTTCAAACACTGGCTATTCAATGTGCTTTACAGTTATCAGGACATTATATGAAAACAAGATAAAAACACAAATTAAAATACACACAGATAGAATTACAGTTACAATGCAGGTTGAAGGAGATAACACAATATAAGAAACAATGCTGTTGAAATGCTGATGAGTACATTAGGGTTTTTATTTTTAATTTAAACAACACTAGAGTTGGGGCACATCTGAGGTCAAGGGGAAGCTGATTCCATATGTGAGCAGCATAGTAACTAAATGCATCTCCGCCATGTTTTGTTCTGGCCCGAGGTTCTACCAGCCGATTGTTTCCAAGGGATCTCAGAGCCCTATTGGGTGTGAACAAATCACTCAACAAGTTACAGTTAGTCCAAAACTCAGCTGCCCGGATAATCACCAAGACCTCCACTTTTGATCACATCACCCCTGTCCTGCAACAACTTCACTGGCTCCCTGTCAAATACAGAATTGACTACAAGATACTTCTTCATGCCTTTAAAGCCATCCATACAGAGGCGGAGCTGGCCTAAATGGCGCCCTGTGCGAGATCCCCCTGTGAATGATTAATCATCTTGGCTACGTAGCTCAATCTATGCTACAAACAAATATAAAAACAACAATAAAGGAAAACAACTGTCTGACAGACAGCATAGCCGAATTCAAGGCAACACATAACAATAATCATTTGATAGCTCTTGGTTTCAAGTTAAGCCCACTAAAGTGCTTAAGTAAATAAAAGTATTTCAAAAACAGCGTTTTTGAACTGGAGTTCTGCTCGCGGTGGGAACTCCACCGAACAAGGTAATTTTTTATAGCGAAAACAATCGACTGGTCACTGACAAGTAAAAGGGTGTTATTGTTAGATGTTAAGAACACTTACCGCTGAGGTAAAATGAGAGTATAAATAAATTGAGGGGAGAAAAACGCTTTGTTTTCCAACGCCGTTCTACAAGCAACAAGCTTACAGCCACAGCAGGAGCAGCTTTCATGGTTGCCGCGACTTGGAAGGAGCCAATCAGGAGAGGGACCTCACATCAGCTGACGTGGGTCATGTGACAGGGAGTAGTTAATATGGGTTACACTTTGTTGTGCTTTTATTACAGAAATATTATTATTATCATCACAATTATTAAGAACATGCAATTTCTATGTTTTGTTTATGTATTGGTTGATGCTAAAAAAAAATTTTAGAAAAAAAAAGAAAAAAAAAAAAAAAGAAAAAAGGAAATTAAATGCCGCCCCCTGCAGACTGCCGCCCTGTT